CCCCCCCCCGCCGGTGTTTGTCATCGGGGTTGAGGTTTCGTCGCCCGGCAGCGGTGTTGCAAAACAAGCCGATCACTTCGTGAGCTCGACAACCAGGTTGCCGCTTTCTTTTGGCCTTTGGTTTTTGTTTGCGGCAACCAATAATGGTGGTCGAGAAGATTGTGTTGTGCGGGGTTGAGAACCCTCACTCCGCGCAAAGGGGATGATCGCACCACGTTTTGTTGAATTGGTCAAGCACCCCCGAGGCAATTACACAGTGCTTATTACTGTCCCTGGAAGTGAAAGCACCAGAAAATATGTTTAGTGATGCGCACCTGTCATCTGTACGCAAGGAAGTAAGCGCAGAATGCAGCGCACCCTTCATGCGGCTCAAGATGGGGACGTGAGCGCCTGGTCCGGTGAGAACCCGGCCTGCTCAGTCCCGGCTTGGTAGGGATGCGAGATCATCGGTGTATCGACTACGGCATGCACGACAATGAGAACCCCCCCCCTCTCCCAAAAACGCCACACACCGGGGGCGGAACACCTGTGTGGTTTGACGGCTTTTCGCAGCGTCCGATTATCCCCATCCTACCCGCTGCCAGCTGCGATTGAGCGATACCCATCATCTCAGCCTCCCTTTCGTTTCCCTCGTGTGGGAATTTGCGCCTCCAAGATGACACGCCACCCAGGACGCGAGGGGGTGCGGATCTCCTGTACGCGTCGCTGTTGTCCAACGGCGAAGTAGACGTGCCGCTGACGACCCTGACGGCACTGACCTTGAAGGCGTCCAGCTCTCTCCGCGGAAAAAGGCGCTTCGACTTGGGTAAGTGCATGGTGCTGCCACAGTGCTCCCGGTAAGTACGTACACTTCGCGTGCGTGTTGTTGGCTTGTTGCGGCGTCACCTGCGGCGGCCTCCGGCTGACCGTTGTAAAGAGACGCCGGTATTTTGCGCCCGTGTTNGTTGTTTCCAATCGTTTCGTGGTTTTCCCAGGTTCGGAGGCGTGTCAGCGTCGAATACACGGGGAACCTTCCTCTGGATCCTGAGGGTCCGCGGGTTTGCTCCTTGCGAGCAGGTGACTAGGAAGCCTCCGAAAATGTTTTTGTGTTACCCGACGGACGTAAGGCCCTAAACACAAGAAGAGCATGCCAGCCGTGCATCACGCTGCCCCCCGATCGTGGGACCTCCCGCAAGAAACAGACGAATGGACATTCGACAAATAGAGAGGGTGAGAAAGAAAACGAACATACAGACAGAGAGACACGAGAGAATTTTTCGAAAGCAACAGGGAGTAGCAGACCTATCTTCCGTGACCTACGCTGATCGAGAGTGCCATGTCATGTCTCTGCGGTATCCAGGCGATCCCAATTCCTTCCCTTCTGTCCATCTCATTCTCATGCAGTGAAAGCTTGTATGTGCGGCTAGACTCAGGAGATTCAGACAGTGATACCCGAGGTGGTTTGATAGAGACGCGTGCCTTCGTCCTTCCATTTCATCAGCGAGATGTGGACGGCCTCATCCACTTTGCGCAAGGTTAGCCTTGTTGTGACCGATACCGTCTGCTTTACTAGTGCATGAAGGGTGCATGGATGCCTAAACGCACTTCTGCCACTATCCCCCCCTCCCCCAATTCCCACCATCTGATATAACCCGCTCCTCGTCTTTTGCACTTTGTTTTGTGCCGAACAAGGTGTGGAACACGGGGTGCAACCTGAGCATCGCCTTCCTGGTGTCATTCATCTACTTCTACAAGTGCCTCAGGGGGGCCCTGCGAAACCCCACGTGGGTGCCGATACACTGCGCACTCACCTTCCCGCTGCTGCTGCTGCTGCTGCTGCGGCTGCTGTTCTATGTGCTGCTGTTCTTCCTGAAGAGAGCGAGAGAGCGCAGCAACCCGTCACCGCTCCCTTTCTACAACCCCTCCCTCACTCTTCCTCCCCTCACTTGTGCGACACGCGTTCAAGAGCGTGCCAATAAAATACATACGGCAGTGTTTGTTGTGTGTGCCACGAAGAGGCATGTCAACGATCCATTCACTTCTGGAGGCTCCTCTCTGCCCCGCACAAGTCTTGCGCAGAACGTCGCGTGAGAAAGGCCCGAACGATAGCGGCATCCCTCTCAGGGGCAGAAAGGACACTTGGGGTCGACCCTGAAAGTGATGCGTGGTGGTTGGTACGTAGTCAATTGGACATTGGACAGGAAAAGCTCGTTGAGGGCGCTTCCCTCCCTCTCCAATCAACTAACGCCTGTTTTGTCGCACATGAACACTTCCCTCTCATCAGACGCCTTGGCGTGAGCGGAATGGGCCCCTGCGAGTCCTGTGGACGACGATAACCTCGCCGTTCGGAAAGGTCCGATTCCCTGAGGGCTATCGTCGACGATATCCTCACCAGATACGGCGGAAATTGCAGTTGTTTGGTACAGTGGTGTGCTGCTTTCATGATACCGAAAGGTCGATAATAGTGGCGAATTCGATATCACGCTATGAAGCGAAGAAGGGTCGCAGACGCTGTAGGTACGTCCACGATCGTTTTCTGTAGTACGAGTGCTTGCTAATGGCGTGATATTTGATGTTGAATACAAGGCCCCCCTTCTGGGCGTCGGTGTCAAGCCTCCCGCGGGTGACGCAGGACCACACGGTCGAAATGTATGCATGGGGGCCGTTTTTCCTTTCTGTCGTTTAGATGGGTTTCAGTATTGGTTCGGCAGGCTTTGCCGTCGCGGAACGCGTCCACGGGGTATTGGGCGACAAGAAGGACGATGACGCTCCCTTTCCTTCCCCGCCCACCCCTCCCGTCTTGCTACCACAGCAGCAGAGGGCGACGAAAGCGACGAGGATGCTCCCGTGTTGTTGGCCCCCCAAATCAAGAAGGGGAGGTGGTGGTGGAAGACCGTTCTCCGGAACACTCTTCTTTGTCCCCAGAGAAGGCAGCATAAGGACCTACTGTTCCGAGCGCAGCTTTCGTCCTCAGCACGGTTGGATTCACTCGTCACAGAGAGGCCTGGAGCTCTGGAAGGCATCCAACGGGTCATCGAAGCGCAAGTCGCTTGAAGCGTTTTTCCCGACAATGAGCTCAGCGACATGTAGAGTCACCGGAAGCCCGGCACGTTGGTTGCAATGGCAAAGGCTCAAGGCGAGGTTGTGGTAAGCCCTGTGCACCATACCATTGTACGAGTCTCGCGGTATGCAGTAGAACCGATGAGGAGGGCGCTGCGATGACAAATTGATGTCGAATATGGAATGTGGTGAGTTGTGGAAAAGAGGGTTTCGTCCTCGACAGACGTTCGTTGGGGAGTTTCAATCAACCTTTAGGTGTTCTCCACATTACCCCCCCCCTTTATGAGGCTTCTTCTTGTTTGCTAGGCAAGAGAAGTCTTCTTGGGGTAACCGAAACCCGACCGGCTGGCGGCGAGTAGAACCACCTTTTTCCAACAATCTTCTGTGCGTGTTGCGGGTGCGCCACTTCCGCCACGCATTGCCAGAAGTTTCGAGTGCGGTAGACGGTGCATCGTTTCTTGGCCCACCCACCGTTTTACTTTTTCTGTACTCCGGAAGAAAATTGGGTGAGCAGCGGGTTTTGAAACCGTGTCTTTTGCAACCAAAAACAGACACCTGACATCTATCGTCTACACCATTGTGGAAAAGAGGGTTTCGTCCTCGACAGACGTTGGCGAGTTTCAACCTTTATGAAGGTGTTCTCCACAGAGTCGGCTGAACGCCAATCACCCAATAATAATGCTGCCTGAGCGCTGGCAGCGAGGTACGCGTGGCATACACCGCCTCTGACGGCGGTGATCTGTTCTTTGGAGAACGTAGGCAAGGCTAGCTCCCTCAGCTGTACACCCATGTCCTCGCGAATACCGATGACTTGGATGTACAGAGGGAGGAGCTAGCCTTACCCCCCTCTCGAAAGCATACTACGCCGCCGTCAGAACCGATCTATGCCACGATTACCTCGCTACCAGCGTCATCGACAGTGATGCGATGAGATGCATGTACAGCAGGAGGAGCTAGCCTTGTCCCCCTTTTGGAAAGCATACTACGCCGCCGTCAGAACCGATCGACGCCACGCGTAGCGTCATCGACAGTGATGCGATGACATGAATGTACAGCACATGGAGCTAGCCTTACCCCTCTTTCGAAAGAATACTGCAAGGCCGTCAGAAGCTGTTATGCAATACGTACCTCGCTGCCAGCGGCATCGACAGTGACTGGGTGCCCACGAGGAAGACCGGTGGCATCGACAAGGTAGGTGCTACGTTATTATGACGAGAGTCTGGCTGCGGGACCTGCGCTGTTTGTATGTTCAGTCGACACGCGTGCTTGCTCTCTGCCAGCCAATCAAAGCCCCGATGTTTTCTTCGCTAATTTCAGGCCGGTTATGTATAGCGCCGTTCCTGTGTTACGATCTCGTGAAGAGCAAGCACGCTTTGAAACTCCACCGCGCATCTGTGCGTTCGCCCACGAGTTTTGCAGTCTATCTTACAGTACTCGTGAAAACTATTTTATGAGGCTAATTGTTCAAGTGCATCAGTACGGTGCATCCTGCCGTGCGATATGGCGAGCCACGCGTCTCGAAAATCACCCCCAACTTCGTAGTAACTTCCGCATGCACCATGCTCCCTTGCCGTGTTTTTTCGCAAATGAAGGTGACAACCCTGGAGAAGCAAGTGCCAGAGGTGTCCCCGAGCCAGGCAAATAGTGAATGCCGGTAAGCGCAGTTGTGACATGGAGGCAGTTTTACACGGCGAACCCCACCAAGTGTCCGAGAAGCACGGGGGGTTGTTCTCACAGTCGTGCATGCCTTACTCCTGGTCGTAGTCGTTATCCCGTTGACTTCGGATCCCTACAAAGCCGGGACGGAGCACGCGGGGTTCGGTTTCAATCGCCAAGCGCGAAGCTCTGTTTGACCTCGGATCCCTACAAAGCCGGGACGGAGCACGCGGGGTTCGGTTTCAATCGCCAAGCGCGAAGCTCTGTGAGGTATTCGGCGAGTGTCATGGAGGGTGCGGTGCATCCTGCGAAGGGTGTTTGGCATTTTTGTGCTTTACTTTCTTGCATTCAGATGGAAGCTGCAAAATGATTTCATTTATTTTCTTTTGCTTGCACTTCCAGAGACAGTTTGTAGCACGGTGTGACTGGCGCGACGGCGCTTGGCCAATGTAAAACAACGTGGTGTGATCATTCCCTTTGCGCGGGGTGAGGGTTCTCGACCCCGCACAACATTGTCTACTTGACCACCATCATGGTTACCGCACAAAAAACGCAAAGGCAAAACAAGAAAGCGGTAACCAGTTTGTCGGGCTCACGAAGCGATCGGCTTGTTGCTTCCCTTACTCGACGGTAAGCCGGCAAGCGTACGTAGGTTGCCACCACAACACTATGCTTGCGCTGAGAGCACCAGCCGCGCGCTCTTCGCAACTGCACACCACACAATGACACTATCGTCAAGCTCGATATGCCCAACAACTGCCTTCGTTATCGGCCGTTCGCAGGGAAAAAGAAACGGGCGTCGCACTACGCGGGTGCCATCATCGCTGACGTGATTCGACAACTACGGAAGCTTGGCCTGACGAAGAGTTGCGGCGAAGGGGGCCCTCAGGCGTTGGTCACCCCCTGCATTGAGTTGGTTTGTCTACAGACGACACAGAAGAGGAGAGACACTTCACTGAGGGGTCTTGTGTCACGCACGCATGGAGTAGGGTTGTGTGTGGTTCTGTACGATTATTTCTTATCTCTCGATAATGTGGATGCAAGGGTCGGTCGAGGGCATGGGTGATTGACGGCGTTGTGAAATACGGTGGCCCAAGGCCTTCCCAACTGATATTCCAATGCGATGCCAACCTTGATGTGCAATACCGGGTGAACGTAACCCGATCAACGGAATGAGGGTAGATGGCCTTCTCAAGAAGCAGTTCGCGAATGCTACAGAACGCCTTTATTTATGAAGCTGGGAGTTAGGTGATTCCGGCCTATCGCTTGATGGAAAGTATCCTGTCATGGAATCTAATTAGGGGCTGTTCCATTGCATAGTTTCCCTGTAGAGTCAGTGAGATGCGACCCTCGGGGTAAGTTAGAGGTTCTGCAATGGTGGAGCCTTCTGTAGGCGAATGAGAACGTAGCGTAACGGCGGCATCTTTCTTTTTATTTTCGCTGAATGCGCCTACAGCAGTACCACGCATCACCCCTCCTCAGGACGGTTGAACAAACCGCGTGTGGAGAGGCGTTTCATTACACCCCTTGTGAATGAATTTTACGGCTCTGCGTTTTTCAATCAAACCAAGATCAAGCGTCGCGTGAATGGGGGAATATGCGTTGCACACTCTATTATTTCGCGTGGTGCGTGAGTTTCTGCTCAATCAATGCTGCCGATTCGGCCCGAGACTTTGAGTTACCTCAAAGCAAACGAAAACGAGCAGAGCAGAAACTAAAAAGACATTCAATCTGTCGTTGAACGCTAGGCGATGGCAATACCGTCACGTCAGCGTCCCTTGCACTCGAACGTTGTGAGAGAGACCATATTTGTGTACACCATATGTATATGTAGTACATTAGTGCTTGGGGTAATGGAAGCGTGAATTCGCGGTATTGTAGGGTGCTTTCGTGTCTGTGGTGTATTTGTGGCGAGAGGGGGGGCGATATTGGGCTCCATGTGACCACGTTTGGCCATGCCGTCGCCAAAAGAATCATGTACTTGACGGGGGGTCCGGGGTTGTTCAGCCCCCTTCCTCTCGCAAACCCCGCATTACGTTCTGCCCCGTTTTTATCAAAATACAGTGCATCGCTCAATCACATGAATTAGTCGTTGAACGATAGTTGCTCCACTCAGAAAAAATACAAAACGATTCGTCGCAATGGATACTTGGACGTCGAGTGCCCACGTCTGTCGGGGATACCATGCAAAGCGGATGTTCCGTTGAGCTCAAATTTTCACACACGACTATCACACGGAAATGGGAAGAGATGTCGTTGGACGCCAAGACCCACGTCGTGTCCCCATGTGTCCCTCGAGTTTGATGTAATCGAAGCAGGTCCCACTCTGCTCGACAAGTTGAGAGAAGCCACCTTCATCCCACCTTGTCGTCAGAGCCTTTTGTCGCCATGGCAACTTCAATAAGGCCGTCAAGCTTGAACTCTACGCTTCCATCTCCGCAAGAACAAGCGTAGTTCCGAATATCCTTGCGCAGGAAACGTTCACGGTTTCTCTCTACAAAATCCTGTGAGGCTACTGCTGTCGTGCGTCCGCTACAACAACCGAATGAATGGAGTCGCACGGCCCATTCGCTACAGCCAAAAGGGCCATTGCTGGAGTATGGTCTACCACACAGAACCCGTAACGACGGATGCCAACGCAAGTTAGCCCATGATAATGGGAGCGGGTACATGCACACTCATGACTGGCACTTGGCCACTCTTACGTTTCAAACTCGGCGATGGAATTCCATGACACATACGTGCGCAGCGAACTAGCGAAACACCTTGAAACGGAAGTCGGAGTGATCCAGGCTGGCATGATCGTCACACGGCACTACACTGCCCAGCCCCTACCGCTGCTACAGAAGTGAACGAATCCTCAAACTCCCAACCAACTACCCACACCGACGACCCAGAAATTGGTACCATAAACGGCTGACCTGCTCATCTCAAGGGGAGATGATCAAGTCATCCCTGTGGTAGTACTCCGCCAACAGCCGGTAGATGTACGACGGTTGCAAGCCCCCCATGTTGGTGATGTAGAGATCGACGAGATTGGGTGGGATGCAGTCGTACGCAGGGTTCAAAACCTGCCGGGCCACGCGGCACAGGAAATGACCTTGTTCCCATCGTTGTTCATTACGTTCAAATCTCTGCACAGCAACTTCTAGCATCTGCATGCTGAACCAAATGGCCAACACCCAGTCTAGCGCGCGAGCGGTCTTAGAAAATATTGAGCAGGTACCGCAGAATACTATCAAACTCCACGCGACACGATAGTGAACGCGGCACTGAAGCAATAGGCCACGTTCCTGTCAAACATTTCGCGGTACATCACGGCCTCCAATAGCATCATCCAGGTTCTCCCGATTGAGCTACAGATGTACACACAAATACCGGCATGGCTGAGGGCCTTAGGGGGCGTGGTGTATGGCATGCTCACCTTGACGTTCTTCATGCTGTCCTTGTCCTTGAAGGACATCACAGCAGCGGGCGATAGAAGGCAGTTGAACGTGTCCCGGTCGTGACGAAACAGCGGGCACAGCGAGCGGACCACCGGCGGAGACAAAGAGGCGATTGTGAAGGGCGGGGGAAAGGGGTCGTGGTCGAATTCTAAGTGCGATGTGGCCTTCTTGGACAAAGTTGGCCGTAAACACCAACCTCTTTGTCGCAGTTCGCTGAGCTCGCCAAAATTCTACAACTGCTGCATGGCAAGGGAGGGATTCCCAACGTTGGGGACAAACCAAGACCATGCTCTCGACCCTTTGCCTCCCACAAAACAAGGCATAAGCAAAGTTTTGGGCCAGAAGAGAATGAAAACAAACGAAAGCCCCAGGGCAAAAACATATTTCAGGACGCTGCCGAACCTACCTCAAGGTTGTGCAAAAATACAACAACCAAGAACAGTAGCTCTTAACTATGTTCATGCGCAAGATACAGGTTTTGCTCTACGAGACGACTGAACATCTCGACCCTAGTATAGGTCGAGCAAATGACAGCAGTATCGCCAGTCTCAAGCTCCTAGCAGTAGCAGTAGCAGTACTGTACCTTGACAGCCCGGTGAAGCACACGACAGGCACGGAGAGGTCGTGCGCCGCCAGAGCCACCGCGTGGCTGCCGTTGAGAGTGATCATGCCCCCGTTGGCCACAACAGCGTGGGTGGACAGGATCACCTTCAGGGGTAACAATCGTCCAATGGAAATAAAGAGGTATACCGTAAGGATGCGGGTCTCGGCACACTGTGCGATCGTCTTTTTATTCTCGGTTTTTCTATCGCACACGGGTGCCAAGACGCCGATACGTGCCATGTACCCGAGACCTGTGCGGGGCATTAATCGAATGGTTGGTCCTGAAAATACAACGCACACCCCCGTGCGATGACTCCGATCCGTGCGATTCTGAAAAGTACAAAGCGGCGAATGGGGTGTTTTGAACGGGCACCCCCGTGCCAAGACTCCGATGTGTGCAATCCTGAACAAATCACAGCAGACATACACCAGCACTTCGTGTTCTTGTGCAGGTATTGCAGCATCAGGACCACAACATCACGAACACAGACACAACACATAAGCACACCAGCATATCAGCACCCCAATCACACCACACATATGCGGCGAAACAAAACCCGAGGCGGCGAGGGGGGAATTAGTCTAAATTGAAATCCCCCAATGCAGAGGTCTGTGCTCACGCACGCACCACACACAAGCAACACGTTTGCTACGATACCAGAGGTAGCAAGCGTGGAGTCTGTATTTTTCGCAGTACCGTAGTTGGTTGTGGTCGTTTGGTCTCGTGTGGTTTGTACGCGTTGGTTGATTGAGTAGAATCCGTGTGCCGATTCCGACGAAAGTGACAATGTTGAATAACACCAGCTGCACATGAGCAACGTTACGATGCCAAAGTACAGCAGTGGAGCCCCTGATACAAGCTACGCAACTTGGTACAGCAGCGATTCGTGACAAAAGCTGGATAACACGGTATCACCCAACCTCGCCGAAGGTACCGGGGTCTCAGCACATCCCTGTGCGAAGTGAACAATACCTGTGCGATAATCAATTAAATCCCTTGGAATCCGATTGTTTTCCGCACCCCCTGTGCCATCACCCCGGCCTGTGTGATGTAGCCGATCCGTGCCAAGACCCGCATCTTTACCGTAAACAAACACGGA